TTATAAGCGTTTACTAACAATATCTCCTTTGAGTGGCAGCTCTGGTGGCTCAGGGCTGTGCCCAACTTTTTCACCACCAACTCTCAAGCCCTTCACAGAGCCCAGCATGCATTTCAGTAAATGTGTGCTTGATCATACAGTTCTAAGTCAAGGAATTACCCTTCCATCAGAATTCTAATTTTCATGAGTTTAATCTCCTCCCATTGTCYCTAACTACAGAGAAGCAGCTGAAGAGAACATTCTTTGATAGGAAATTACAGGTTCCAGTTGCAGAGCCCATTACCATTTTTTATCTCATCCTTTAAATGTATTCCCACATTCAAATATTTTGCTTGGAAAGTGCTCTCAGATCCACAGATCCTGGAGTGCATGCTTAATCTGCTAAATGCATTCTAACATTTACTCATTCTTTTCTTTATTCATTCAAAAATGGTTACTGAGCACCACCTGTACAAGGTTGAGCCTCATACTTGAAACTGCATCTTTATTATTCTCCCTCTATATGATTATTTCTCCCAAACCAGCTTTGTTTACCAATTATTCTACTTTTGCCATGAGATAACTGCTGTGTCACCACCCACAATCCATAAAAGTCCAATTTGAAGTAAAGAAACATTAGATTTTAGTGGTCCCTGCTGCTCCATCATGAGCAGCTAAACACAAGATTCTTTAAGACTGTCACCATCCAGCACCACTATCCCCCCCTTCCACCACCACGATGCAGCAGCCTGTTACTCCATCCTGAGATATAGGGGAGAACAACTTCAACATTTCTTAATAACTCTTGGTCTGGCCAACTTTGTGAAAGCTGCTTTCCAAAGCACCAAAATGCAATCTTGTGTTGTGACTAGAAGTTTTAAAAACACAAGAAAAGGTGAATTAATCCATAGGATGAGTTTGGCACACTCACCAAAGAGAGCAGCTCTCATTGCTCATGCTACCACATCCTTCTCCATTCTAGGTCCCTCAAGAGTCCAACCTACTCTTTTGGATTCTGAGCTCATGGAGACAAGCTCTGTCTTCTCTTGGCATGCCAGAGGAGGAGTGGGGTCAGCAAAGTGGCATTCTGCCTTTCCAGGATTTCTATCCAGACTTCAAGGCATAATTGCACTCTATTCTCTTTACCTTTTCCCCACACATGTCCCTGCCTGACTGTACTCCACCTGTGTCCTGAACAGCATCAACCCTGTGCTTCATAGCAAGGCTTCCCAATCTGCAGGTGCAATCCCAAAGGCATTTCTAATGAACACTAGGTAAGAGATTCTCTTTTCCTAATCACAAAAGATTAACCATGCTGTTCTCTGAGAATATTTTAATCTTCACCATTTAACTCTTAACTAAGTGATCAGCCAAATATCTATGTACCTGAAAAACAAAACTTCTTATCCAACAGCAACATACAATAATTCTGGAAAACTACCCAGCTGCAATTCTATATGCTGAGGAGGTAGTAAAGAAAAGCTCTGCTGTGCATCCCTCTACTCTGTATTAAATAATCAAGATCACATTGATCTGGTTCTGACAGATATGCCAACCCAACATCAACAAGGACTCTGAAAAACAAAGACATGCMGAGTTATTTTCTAATTTAAGAAAAGCACATTAAATTTCTTATCAATCAAGTAAAGCTTGCTGGAAATCTGCTTTTCTCACTTCCATTTAACAAATTCCATTTATCACCTTCTTTTTCAGAAGCAGCCCTTTAAAAGAGATCCTTTCTCCTTAAGTACTGATGTATTTCAGCCTAGCTGGGGAGCAATCTTCCCAGTGAAGGCCCAACTTCAACTTGCAAAGCTCGGAAATCAAACAATAGTAATATTCCATATTTAATTCTGCACTCCCATCCCTGGAGCCATCTAATAAAACATACTTAAAAATTACTTTGGAGACAACATTTTAAGTTTCCAGTTAAAGCTCTGACAACTTTAGGAGACATTTTAAAGAGGTCAGCCTGAGATAATCCAACTTCTTCACTTTGAAGCACAATCCATAAGGAACCTCAGGGTGATGGTAGGGTCAGTGAGTTTGACCTGGATCTGATTCCTGGATCCACTTCTACTGATTGTGTGGCTTTTGGTAAATCACTCAACCTTCTGTGCCTTGGATTCCTTATTTGTCAGATGAGTGGTGTTATTTAATTTTGTGCTAGATTCCATCTTCTRTTCTTAGCTTAATCTCATATCTAATGGTTACAGCTGGGGATCTCTTTGCTAACACCASATACAGCTGTACAATTCTTAATTTCATTCTCTTATTTTCTATCTGCTTCAAGATCAAAACTGTAGATTGAGTATTAATAATATAACAAATATTAAAAAGGCAGAAGATAAAGTGAGGTTTCATCTGATAAGTCTTATATCAGTTTTCCTGGTACCAAGTATGATACCAGGTTTATAAAGTCACAAAGTATAGAATATTTAATAAGAAAAAATAGGAGAAATGGAAACTAACATGTATACAGAAATAAAAGCATAACCATAATTCAAAATTATGCATAAAAATACTGGAAAGCTGTACATCAAAATGGTAACCATGGTTAGCACTAGATTRTAAAAGTATAATGACTTATTTTCCTTCCTTGTGCTTTTCTGAACCTTCCCAAAATTCTATAATTAATTAATAACTGTAACTACTATTTATTTTGTATCCCTCATGGGTCAGACCCTGTAGTAAATACTTTACTTATTGCATTTAGTCCTCACACTCTAGGAAGTAGAGTAGCCCCCCATCTTGTCCTCAATGAATATRTTCTAAGATCTCTAGTGGATGCATAAGGCCACAGATAGAACCAAACAGTTATATAGTATGGGTTTTTTCCCCCATAGGTATGATAAAGTTTAATTTATAARTGAGATTCAGTTAGAGATAAGCAAGCATAACTTGCTATAGATTTTAGCAACTTCAGCATAGGATGTTTTTCTTTCCTTATTGAGAACTTTCATCCTTTCACTTAAAGAAATACTTTACAACTTCACTTTGGCATATCCAAATTGCCAACAAAACTACTCTTGAACTTAGAGCAATTCTCCGTAAAATAAGAGTTACCGGTATGCAAGCACTGTAGTACACCACAACACAAATCAAGAGGGTTACTAAATGTAGTTCATAGAGCATGGATATGGTGGATGAAGAGATGATTCACATCCTGGACTGGGAGGTGAGAGATTTCATCATATTACACAGAACACTGCAATTTAAAACTTATGAATTTATTGCTGGGATTTCCATTCAATATTTTCAGGCTGCAATTGACTACAGGTATCTAAAACTCCAGAAAGTCATGAATAAGGGGGGACTACTATATCTGCCAAGTATCCAACCTAGCCATCAAGTGATTAATTTCCCTCCCGTCTCCCAGAAATTCAGGAGATAGCATTGTTTAAGTCATCAAATGTTAAAGAAATATTATCAGTTATCATTATCAACCTGTTCCTAGTTCTCTTAAGCAGAAATGCCCCAGAAAAGTGATGATCACCCCTCTCTGTTTAAGAAACAAACTGTCACATTGTTGAAGATAAGCAGCACTTTAATACCATAATCTCTGCSACAACTGTGGGGACTCAACTCCCTGTTTGCCAGCCTCCCAACAGCATGGGCTGGAAGGGAGGGAAAGCAAGTCAGGAAGAGACATAGTCAATGTTAAGGAGGAAGTGACCCAGCTGTGGGCCTGGTTTTTGAGGTCAAGAATACAGTACTAAGATTATAAAAGAATGAACAAGGCTAATTCCACCTGGTCTCAGTGGAGCAAAACAAAAGAAAGTCTACACAGTGTCAATTCTTCAAGCCAGACAGAGCTTTAGAAGGAGTTCAGCCAGCATCAAGCCCCCCATGGTACATGACCCCTATAACAAGGCTAACCAAGAAATGGATGAAGAGCCACAATCTGCCACCCACAGGCTAAGGTTCAAGGAAGAACTCCATGTCTAGCAAGTGTCAGGGGTATGGAACAGCAAAAATCCAGACAGAGTAAGTCACTCTGCAAGGGACAGACTGTACCTAACTCAGCCTCCAGTTCCTAGGGCACTACATGGGTTTCAACAAAACAAATTCCAAATCCCACTTTCTGATGGAGGTAAGGTACTACTATGTTCCAGAACAGGGATAACAACGAATCTGGGAATTGCTGCTACCAAGGGAAGGCCAGTGGAAGAAAACYACCTTATGTAGATGAAATCAGTAGACCCCAAAGACGAATCACATGGAGGACTTGACTCCCTCTACCTTAGTTGTCTCCCTCTAGAAGACATTATTTCATACCTGCAGGATCCTGAATTCAAATGATCTATTCATGAATTGTCATAGGTAAGACTCAAGCTCTGCCAAGTACAGAACTGCAGCAGACTGGGCCACCTGCAGCCAGCCAGGTGAGCAAGAGCACACCCACCCTCACCAGCCCGTGAACAGAACGTGGCTCTGCACCTCTCCTTGAGGAACTTCCCAAACACAGTTAAGCCCATTGTGTGTCATAAATACAAAATCAGAACTAAAACATGCTCTGAAGAGGATCAAGAACACAAACAGAAATGGAAGGGATGAGAAAAGGACAAATGTTGCACATGCACATGGAATAGGTCAGAACCAGCGCCCACAGCATCTCTCTCAAACTTGATGTTGATGGGTACAATTCACAAGCTGCCTTTTAACCTTGAAYTATTTATAAACAGAAGAGCTTTCCTTGCTCAAAATCATCCTTTTCTCACAGCACATTCAGAAATATCTGCATCCTTTACAGCCAGGTAGTGATACCAAAGCATGTCCCATACTCTCTTCACAAGGGACCTGCTACACAAGTCATAGTCAAACACCAGAATTTAGTGGGAAGACTAAAAACTCCTGAAAACTGGGGAGCTTGGTTAAATGATGGCACTGCAACCCACATGTGGAAGAGAAGAAACCAAGCAAGTCATCTTGCTTGGTTTACATTAGTAAATCAGCAGTGCTTCACCACACATGCAAAAYAGAAGGATACAAAATACAGAATAGAAGGCATGGTACATTACCCAAGAGCCCTGCTAAGGAGCGCATGTCCTTCTCCATCAGCATGTAAATCTCTTCCTCCGAGAATCGGCCAATGCCATGGCCGTGCATCTCGCGCTTCACAATTCCTTTTGTTATGTGGCACACGACCCACCTCAGCAGGTTACTGAAGGGACCACCACCACTAAGAGAGAGCATCTTCCGGGTCTCATTGAGATTGTCCACCCACTGGCAATAAGCTAATGTCCTGGAATTGTGTGGAAACAGGTTACTACCGTGCATCAGACGCGTGTCAGCTCCAGAGAGTCGCTTCTGAATGAGTTGTTCAGAACTCGGCACACTCTGGAGGAACCAAATAATTGCAGCTTTTACAAAGAGCAATCTGCGTGGCAGATATTACAAGAGGCTCTAATACGGGCCTGTGAGAGAAAAGGTGAAAAATCCAGATGATATTCCAATCCCACCAAACCTCTCCAGGAACCCGCCCTCAGACCCTGTCCACACCATGCTTCCCCTTTCTCCTACACAGCCCCACAAAAAACAAGTAGAACCCCAACTCAAAGTGCTTTAGTTAGGACAGTGAGTCTCCCTGGACACATGGCAGTGAGGACTCGGGGGCTGGCATCCTTCCTTCCTTTCTTGAGCACAATGACAGCTCTACAGGCACAGGCTTTGTGCTAAAAAAGCTGCATGGGGGGCTGGGGCTGTAGCTCAGGGGTAGAGCACCTGCTTCACACATGAGAAGCACTGGGTTCAATCCTCAGCACCACATAAAAATAAGTAAATAAAGATATTGTGTCCATCTACAACTAAAAAGAATATTTTTTTAAAAAAAAAAGCTGCATGGTTCTGTTTCATACACTCAGTTGTTTGCACTTTATATTTCATGATATAAAATTATTTTTTTAAAAAAAGAAACCATTTGTGTCTTTTTTGCAGAGGATTAGTGAGTAGGTATACTTGTCCATGTTTATTATAAATTATAAATATTTTGGAAATGATTGGCTCTCCTAAAAACCAACTCTATACCTCAGCTTGTTCTCAGGATTATAAAGTGAATAAAATTCCAAAGGAACTTGGTTGAGTCACTTTTCCCATCTGGGTGGTGCTCCTGGCAACCTCAGCATAGGGTGCGCCTATATAACATGTACAGACAGTTAAATGGCTATTCACTGTTCATGAATCTCCTCAACTGCAATACCYAGGCCTTTGCCAAATTTGTTCTCCAAATCTTTGCAACTGAAAGAATGCTTTTAAAGCTAACGGTGTTGGTAGTTAGAAATTAAAAGGGTTTCCCACTGAAGACTGAGGAAAAGATAGCGGTAGGAGTGCAGGCATGAGACTCTAGTTTTTCCTCATACTGATAAAAAATGTAGTGAGAGTCATCTCTACTTCTAGTACAGGTTGATGCAGCAGTAATAAGCACTTCAAAAAAATCARAAATGTGAACAACATTTTGCGGGGGGAACACAAGGGATGAGAGTCAATTGTTGCTGAAACAAAATGCTGTTTTCCACGTGAAGGGAGAAAAAAAAAGCAAAAATGAAAGGCCCTGGAAGTTTGATCATCTTATACAGTTCTATGCCTTTAGAGTTGKCTCCTCTTTACTTTTTTAAAAATATTTTTAGTTGTAGATGGACACAATACCTATATTTTGTTTGTTTAGTTTTCTTACGTGGTGCTAGAAATCAAACCCAGTGTCTCACATGTGCTAGGCAAGCACTCTACCACTGAGCCACAACCCAGCCTGTCTCCTCTTTAAATATGAAAATAAAAAGTCCATTTCTCCAAAATACTGAAAAATTCCTGATTTTTACTGACTTTATAATCAATTTAACTGTAATCAAGTTTAACATTACGTGTTAAACACTCTTCTTTATTCCCTGGTTAAAATAATATGCCCAGATATTATTAGAAAGCTTCATGTACCTCTTTTTAGTAAGTCTCTCAGAGTATTTAGGAGTCATGAAACAGATTTTGCTGAAAATAGGGGAAAAAAAGTACATCACAATGATCTAGGAAAAGCATTCATTGGATATCTCAGTATAATATATGTCACATTTGTTCTGCTAAATTCTGTATAAATATGAAAACTAGATGCTTTTCCACTTGCTCTTCTTTGTATACCTGCGGTAATTAAGAACCCTGGCTGCTTGATGACCCGTGAGAATTTCAGGAAGTGTGGGTGGGGCACAGGACGAAGATGAGGTAACTTGTGAGAGATGAGACTGGCAAGGATCAGATCATGACAGATCTGGTGAACTTCATCCCAAAAGCAAAGGTTAATTCCTGGAAAGTTTTTAACAGACACGAAGCATAATCAGATGTGTGGCAATGCTGGTAGGAAGGCTGGCTAGAAGACTGCATCAAGACCAGGCAAGAAACGATGCACTCACTGAGGCAGTGGCAGAGGGGATACTGGGCAAGGAATGGGTGGGAGAAATGCTGAGATAGAAGAGAGTCTATCAGTCACGAATTGTGTATAAGGAGAAACCAGGCATTTACTCCTAGGCTGGTTTGGGTGGATAATATCACCAACAGATACTGGATTACACAAGGAGGAACTGATTTGGGCAATGAAAGATGAGCTAACCAGGTGCATTTGAAAGTCCCAAGGAACTCCCGAGGGAAGACATTCAGAAGGCTGAGAATTCAGGAGACAGGCTGAGACTCCAGATGGAAAATTGATGGTCAGGGGCAAGGTGATGGCAGTTTTAAAGCTGTGAGAAGAGGTGAGGTCACCTAAGGAAGTTTTTAGAGTGAAGAATGTTATTGAGAAAACCATGGTTCAAGGGCAAGTTAGATGAGAAGGCCAGGCTGGAGGTGCAACTTGGAGAGAAGCAAGGAACTGCTCTGAGACGGAGGGAAAGAAGGTGTTATAAGGGATCAGGGGCTACTGAATGGTTCAGAGTTGATGACTTCAGTTTTCTCTGTTGAGCAGGAAATGTGTATGAGGGCATGTGCAGAAAACGAAGACACAGTGATGGGTAGAGAGAAGCAGGTAGAGATGGGAGGGGCATGTTCTGGGCCACACAGTTCAGCAGGGAGGAGGCACATCACTGCATAGATGTAAAGTTATCTCATTTCAGGAGCTTGAATGTAGAACACAGAAGAAGGACAATTGGGTTTATTCACAAACCACCCAGTGTGTGCTATTCTGTGATGGCATTGCAAGTCGACCAAGACACTTCTGAAATACCTCTGTTGCCTCCACACTTTTGCAAATGCTGACCCCTCTTTCTCAGGACATCCTAATCTTCCACTTCCAGTCACTTCAGTTGTCCCTAGACTCCSTCATGACACCATCTCCTTTGGGAAGTCTTCCTCTTCTCTCCAGCAGGTTCTCACTGCCTCCCCTCCGTTCTTCATACTGCCCCCTACAATGACCATTGCAGACCTATGATGTCTGTCTCCCTTCAGCCTGTGAGCCACTTGAGGGTAGGGACATGGTGCCTGGTTACTGGTAGTCATTCATTTAGCTGGCTGAAGAATGAATTATTGATTGAATGAAAAAAGGCTTCACTCCGAGCCAACCACTGCTAAGTAGTGTTTCTAAGGGATGACACACACTTAAGCAGAAAAATGGAAAAAGGAGAAATGCCTACAGAGGGTGACAAAAGGGCTGCCACTCTTATTCTGGGATTCGTGGCTCCTCCCTCTCTGCTGAGAAGGAGTCCACTGCACAGGGAATCATGAATTATTAACTGAAGAGGGCAGGAAGGGCCAATTTGGAAAGTAGATTAGGCTAAGCAATTAAAGTAATTTATCAYTGGAAAGTCTATTTCAGGAAGTTGAGGTACTCACTTTCCTTATTGCAACAAATCTATCTGAGCTCTTATGCAAAAATGGGGTCAAAGAGTTTTGAAAGATTATCTTAGAACATAAGAATAAAATCTGTTCATGTATTTTTAAAGGAGATTTTAAAAAAAAAACAAGCAAAGAAATGCTGATCCCTGATATTTTTAATGAAGATATCTCTCATCATAACTTAAAAGACACCAGATCCATGGCAGAAATGAACATTGACGTGTGGAAAACTGCAAACCAGGCCAACAACTGAGTCTCAGAACATGGCCTTCCGAGTCATGAGAAAGCCCCTCTCTGTGTGGGCTACATCCTTGCTAACTTTGTCTTGTACTCTGAACATTTGCCAGAGGAGAGAGGAGCTTATGGTATGTTTCTGTACTTTCAYAAGCATTAAATTGGGCCTTCCAAACAGGAGCCCTCCCTACAGCTAAAACTGAATGGCAAAGAATGACAAGGGGAAAATATTAATTGAGTTGCAGTCAGGGAGCCTGTCCTGGTTTTTAGAATAGACCTTCTTGGGTAAGTCATTTTAAGAAAGCACCCATCTCTCACAGTCACTGAAATTACATCAAAAGCTACATGGGGCTGGGATTTGGCTCAGTGGTAGAGCCCTTGCCTAGCATGTGAGAGGCCCAGATCCCCAACACCATAAAAAATAATAAKAAGAAGAAGATTTAAAAATCTATAATATAATAGGGCTGGGAATGCAGATGTAGCTCAGTGGTAGTATCACTTGCCTAGCACATGCAAGGCTCTTGARTTCAATCCCCAGTATTGGCAAAAAAATTTTTAAAAGTCCAAAGGTGTGACCCAATGATAAAGCACTTGCCTACCATGCATGAGTCCCTGAGTTTGATCCACAGCAATGCCCAAAAAGAAAAAAATATATTTCAATCTCAAAATCTTTAMTTTATGGCCAACCTAGAAGCAAATTTGAATTCATTGTTTTAATGCCTATATTAGCAGGGGTTATGACTACAGTGTCTAACAGTACAGCCCTCCCAGCACACTTCCCTATGGAGTTGGGAGAATCAAAAACCACTCACTAATGTCCACGAGGGGGCAGTATGTCACACTGAAGAAGCTACAGTGCTGCCGGAAACCAATTCCTTCCAGTAATTTGATGCCCTGTCTCTCCCACACTCCTTCATACCAGCTTCTCTGTATTGGATCTAACTTAAGCATCCAGTAGGACAAAGGGGATATGAAAAAAACTGTCTTCTCCATCTTCAATAATAGCTTTTATAATGCAAGTGGGATGTAATTGTATAGATTTCAAATGCAAGCAAACACTTCATAGCTGAGTGTGCTTATTTGAACAGACTAAAACAGAGCTTCAGAATTATGTGATGTTACATAATAATGAGAGCTTTCCATTGCCTTTGCTGTCCAGAAAATTGTACTTGATGTGAAGAATTTTTAAAGTTTCAGGCAGAAATAAAACATATCTGAAACCCCCAGATCATTCAATAACTGAGTTAAACATAGTAGGCTTACTGCAGTTTCCTCTCCCATCTCTGAGTACATTAGAGACTAGGAGCTCAATGATCGTCAGAATTTAACAAGATCTCACAGAAAACCCATACTTGTAAGATTTTCCCCCATACTGAGGTCAGTTTCCTACACTGGGCCCGGGTTTCCAGGGATGCACATTTTAGGTGTGGCTGCTGGAACCAGAAGAGGAGGAGGAGAGGAGCCTAAGAATGTCAGAAGTTCTCTGCCTGAGGCATTTTAGGGGGACAGGGTGGGATTTAGAGCTCTTAGGAGTCTTTTCAAAATCTCCTCAGAGCAAGCTGTTGGCTAAAGGGTCAGGAACTTTCAGAAACAGAGAGCAGTGCTTTTCCTGCTGCTACTAGAGACTAAAGGGAATAGGAGGAGTGGGAATACAATTTTGAAAGGTCACTAGCTACCTGCATCTTAATCAAGACCCTCCCTCCAACCTTCACTATTTCTTCCTCCAATAAATCCTTAAATAGACACAAGAAAGATATAAGAGCTATCCCCCCCACCAAAAAAAAAGTATTTTGCTAATAACAAAGTGAATTAGAGAATGAAATCATCCTTAGAAGAGTCTACATATAGCCCAAGCAAATCTCCAAGCAAAGCACCTGTAAGTTTATGATCCATAAAATTAAGATGCTTCCCTACCAGGGTACCACCTGTCAACTTCCCCACATTCAACCCACATCCACAGCCTGCCCTCCACATCCAGTATCAGCTGAAGGATGGTGAAAAAAAATGATAGTGAGGGAAGCCATCCATGAACTTCTACCAGGAAGCAAAGTTATATAAATGACACACACACCCAGAGCAAAAGGCAATGATGTGTGGGATCTGGGAATTCTACTGAATCAAAAATTTTCTGACCGGAATACATATTTTCTGAGCTACCTAAAAATCTAAGTTGTAGCCAAAGTACCAGTTAAAGTGTAGGGCCTCAGTTCTTCAGGCAGCTGACAAGGTAACAGCACTCCACGTTAATAAGCACATCTATCAAATAAGGCATGGGTATCTTTTGGAGAGGCTTGTCAAAAAAAGATATCAGGGTCAGGGTAGCCCGAGGTAGGTTCTTCATTTCCCTTCATCACTGCAGAGCTGGGTCAGGAGCATGGAAAGCCAGTGTGATGTGTTCTGTCCCACAAGTCTTTTTCTGGAAGCCAAGTGAGTCATACTTAGTCATGCATTTTGGTCCCCACTGTGACTCCTGCACAGGAAAGGGGAACCCTAGAAGTCCTCCATCAGCATTATAAGGAACAGAGCCAGGTTTCTTTCAGAACACTGAGTCTGATCTCTTCCACACTGACTTGTGCTCACCGCCTCTCTAGATCCCTCCCTGCTCACCCTTCCTTCACCTCTGTAGTGAGCAGGGAGAGGATGTGGAGTTCAGGTCGACTCCAGAACTAACTGAGAAGAACAAAAGTAAGAAAAGATGAGGAAAAATAGAGGGTCACTTCAAATCTGAGACCAGAACAGCAAGTTTTCCATTTAGAAAGAGGATAGAATAAATGAAACCTGGAGACAATGAGGAAGAATCCTCTATGATCGGCCCCATGTGGAGTGTATGTTTCAGGAGGAAAGAGACGGTTGGTAAAATCTACTGGACCAGCCTCTAGCCCCAGAGTAACAATTAAAGTAAAAAAAAAAAAAAATGGGCTTAACCATTCTTAATTAAATCTAYAGGAGAAGATAAAGTTTATAGAAATCAGGGAGAAATCTGTTCTCATCTATAGGGATGTAGAGAAAGACTCAGAAATGCCAGAAAATGGATGAAAGGAAAGGGCAAAGTCCCACATGACAAATGAGTTTGCACAGCAAGAAGAGCCAGASTTGCCAGCTCAAAGCCATAAGGAGCAGAATAGGAGCAACTCGGGAACACAACTGTGATGCTTCAAACTTGAGGAATACTAACTAGGAGCCAGGCTACCAGGGCAAAGTCACTGCACGCTCCACTTCTAGAACACAAGAGAACTCCTACTATCTAAGAAAAATTGACAGCAAACTCACAAAGGTTGTGTAATCTATTTCACCTAGGAATACTGTCTCCATGTGCTCTTCCCTGCCTCTTCCAGGTATCTGATGTGATGGGATTTTAATCCAGCAGTTTGTATTGATAAAGAACCCTGATCCCAACCAAATGAAGTATCCCCTTCACCTCAGTGATCAAGGGCCAGCAAACTGCAGCACGTGGGCTACACAGTTTTTACATTTTTACATGGCTAGAAAAAAATCAAAAGGAGAATAGGTTGTATTAAATGAAATTCAAGGCTCAATATCCATAATAAAATTTTACAGTCATGCTTACTCAGGGCATATTACCTATGGGAGCTTTTGCAATAAAAAGGTAGAGTTTAGTTTCTGCAACAGAAACATGTGGCCTTGAAATCTAAAATACATACTAGCTGGTCCATTTCAGGAAATGTATAGGGACCCTATCTAGACACCGCTAAATACGTCTGTCTGATTTCTTATCCCAAACTGTTAACAGAAAACTTTTGAAAAGGTGGGAGGAATGGGAGGAATACCTGAAAAATTAAACAGAACTTGGGCATGCTCTGGAAGGATGGGGTCGCGCCCACAGGGCACTCACCAATAGAAGTGCTCCTCCACCATCTTGGTCACCGCACGGGACACAGCTCTTTCATGAGGTCCAAGGTTTTTGTTCAAATTCACTCCAAGTTTCTCTTCCAGAAAGTCAATAATGAATTCTGTGCCAGAAACTTTTTCATGGTTATATTCAATCCAAGGCATTTTCCCTTGAGCAGAGAGTTTTCCACCAAAATAGTTCTAAATAGAGCGTATTTTAAAAGAGAGAAAAACAATGTTGTTATTTCAATTTCATTGTATGAGTAACAGAAACACGCAGTCCAATCTTATATGTGACAGTGACTGCACTATTCAAGTGAATGAACTCTGAATGTAAACTCCTAAAGACGATAAATGGTTACTATAGGGGAAAAAACTTTCTTAGCTCAAATTAAGATACCAATTTATTCCCGTATTTCTACAATAGACTGTATCATGGGCTCTGGACTCTGGCTTAATGACAAAAAAAAAAAAAAAAGACCTAGCAGCAGGGTCAGGGAAGTGAGGATTTGAGACAGTGGAACTGATCCTGGTAATGGTCAGCCTAGCTCTAATGTATAAACTATTCCAAAAATGAAAAAAGTGAAAATAAACCAGGAGGAGGCTCATGTTGACAAGGTTACTCACCAAAAAAACTCATTTGAAATCCAGTGGCTYACACTTGAATAACATTTAACACCACTACACTGGAAACAAGTGGTGCCTAAAATTGTAACCCTTAAGTATGAAAAAGTGCTGCAACAGGTTCAAATACAGCAATACAGCATTTCCTAAAATGCAGATTCCCGGGCCCCACCCAAACCTCTGGTTCAGAATGGTAGGGAGAGCACCCAGAAATCTGTGTTTCTGACAGGTTCCCCTTTGATTTGTATGCATGCTACAAGCTTACAGARTTTTAGAGGATTTGATCCCAGAATGTGTGGGAGGTGGGAGCGACATACTTCATGAATGTTTAAAATTGCAAAGTGATATGCATTCTTTGCTGCATAAAAAGCAAAGATCTTAACACTGATGTAAAGGATTCTCTGTGGATGCCATGTCTTCAATCACTTTTCTTAATAAATCTAGATCATTAGGCCCCAGAGTTGACTATTTAAACTGAATCCATTTTGCTGAAGCCTAAATTAGCCAGATTATTACAAACTTTTCCTCATAATTCATACAAAGAGATAGTCCAGACACTATTGGATAATGGCCAATATTGGCTTTTAGGGGGAAACCAGTACTCTCCACACCACACTGTTGGTAGGAATGTCAAATGGTACAATGACTACTTTGAAACCATCTAACAATTTATTTCCAAAGCTAATACAAACCATTTCACTCATAAGCATTTACCCAAGAGAGAAGAAAATGTATGTCCATGCAAATGCTTATACACAAAAGTTAACAGAAGACTTATTTCAAATTATCAGAAACAGGAAAAAAACACTTCCCTTTGAGAGGTAAATGAATAAATAAATCTAACATATCCTTACAATGAATACTACTCAGTTTTAAAAAAAGAAAATTGATACAACATGGATGAATCTCAAAATAAGTTCTAAATGAAATTAGCCATACAAAAGGGCAGCACGTACTGTAAGATTCCATTTTTAGAAAACTCTAGAAAATACAAACTGATCTATGGTGATGGAAAGCCAATCAGTGGTTACTGGAGACAATGAGGGATGAGAAAGAGCAAGAGGAAAGATTTCAGAAAGGCACAAGGACATTTTGGAGAACAATGAATACATGCAGCATCTTGATTGTGGTGACAGTTTCATAAGTATCTATCTATGTCAAAATTATCAAATTAGACACTGAAAATATGTGCCATTTGTTGCATGTCAATTATATCTCAGTAAAGTTGTAGCTTTTTTTTTAAGAAGACATCATTAGGTAATTTTTTTTCAGCACTAGGGATTAAATATAAGGCCTTACATATGCTAGGCAAGCAATTTACCACTTAGCTACATCTTCAGCCCTTCTGATCTTATTTTGAGGCAGGGTCTCACTAAGTTTCACAGGCTGGCCTTAAACTTGCAATTCTCCTATCTCGGCCTCCTAAGTAGCTGGGATTACAGGTATGCACCACCACTCCCAACAGTAAAATTTTTCTATAATGGGTAAGGTAATAAATATTTTGGGCAAGCGGAATGGTCTTTACTACAATAACTCAACTTTTCACTTGAAGCAGCAGTGCAGCAATGGACAATACGTAAGTGGATGAGCATGTCTAGTTCCAATAAAAAAGTACTGAGGAACCTGAAATTTGATTTTATATAATACAAAATATTTTTTAAATATATTTTAGTTGTATATGAACACAATGTCTTTATTTATTCTTATGTGGTGAGGATCCAACCCAGTGTCTCATGCATGTGCCAGGCAAGCTCTCTACCACTGAGCTACACCTCCAGCCCTCAAAATATTCTTCTTTTGACCTTTTCTCAACTTTTTTAAAACAYAGAAATTCTTCTTCACTCATAGACCCAATGGCCCACAGCCCTCATCTACCAACCCCTGTACTAAAGGTACTCCTCTACCCTTTATCCTAAAAAGAAACAAAATTAGAATTAAGAAACCATTGGATCAAGACCTAGATAAGAAAATACCTCTTTGCCAAGGTGTGTCATGGCAGAAAAATCTATGAGGATCTATTCTAGAATACTGCTGGCCAAATCCCCCTTTTAGGCTTAAAACTCCAAAACATGAAAAGAGATGAAAAAAGTTACTGTTTCTCAAGTGAAACCCTTGGATTAGCAATGGTGACTACTGTTCAAGTTGTTCTTGCCTAAATCCCACCCAGATTTGTGTGTGCCTTTCCCAAAAGCCAAATAAARTATCTAACCACAAGGCAGAAAAACTGCAAAACTTCTAGAACAAGTATCTTTGCATCTAGGAACTATGCTTCCTACATTTTGTTTGTGGTACATACTAAAGAACACCAAGTCACTGAAGACCTCAAGTGAGATAACAGGGTTGTGCCTGGATATCATGGCCCTTAAGGGCAGTCACCCATCTGTGTCCACAGGACTAGACTTGGGCTTGGGTCGTGGGCTTCTCCATTGGCCAGTTAATACCACCTTCGTGGAAGGCTGAAAAGCACAGTGAGTGCCACCTAAATGCTGTTTACCACTGTCTTTGATAGGGACTAAAGGGAACTTTGGTCTCTTGACTCTTGATACTTTATCTCACTGTTCATTATAATGAATGAAAAGTGGGCCTGGCCTAAAAACGGGTAGTAACTATTTAGGTTACAGTTAGCCATATTGCCTTTGTACAATTCAGAAAATGGATCCTCATTGACTAAATGCAGTCCATGCCCAGGTTCACATCTTGGCAAGGAGAGAAGGCAGTAGGCGACCTACACAACCCCCATAATGCAGGCCTMGACATCATCCTTGATGCTAACAAGAAGAAATGTCAAATACTTCTAAAAGTTACTAGTACATCTGACATTCTTTTTATAATCTGTATACTAAAGATGTAAATTTATCAAACAACATTGTCCCTGTTACATATTTCTCCTAATAGCATTCATGTCTTCCTAACACAGTCTTATCTAGATTTGTCATTCTCAGATGCTGTCTTCCATAATGTCATCTAAAGAAATTCTTTGTGATAAAAATGAGACATAAGAACCCTGCTTCTAAAAATTATCTAGTAGCTTTAGTAGTTCTAGTCTAACCTCCCTCACACTTTTGATGTGTGATCTAGACAGACACCACCTAGTTACTGCCCACTSCTCCCCAGCCTTTATGGATATCAATTCCTCTGGTCTCCTGATCCATCTGCTCACACCAGGCCAGATCACTTTGCACATCTTCATCTTTTACARGAGTCCCAGTTCCCATCCTCTGCAAAGTCCAATCCATCCTAAAATATCAGTTCAATGTCATCTTGCTAATGAACAGTTTTCCCAGGGTGCACCCATTATCTGCCCTCCCTTCAGGCTTCCACTGTGTTGTGTATACTCCACTCCCCTGCAAAACAACTGTTCCCACGTCTACATCTATACCTCACTCTCCCCTGGGTCCTTGGTACATTGTTTATCTTGACTGCTTTCTAAAATTAGTGCAGAGGAATAAAAATTAGTGATCAACTTTTATGGAAATGGAGGCTCTAGCATGTTTGCATAACCAGAAATGGTATTTTGCTTACTAGCTAAAGAGACAGTATAACTAATTCTATCTAAGCAAAAATTAGATGAATTAAAAAGAAGAAACTCACAAAAATGTCCAAAGTAATTGGCAAGACTATGGGTGAGATAAAGGTGATCATTTCYTTGCCATTCATTTCAGCTTTTTGGAGTGTGATTATATTACTTACAAGTCAAAAAAATTAAATAATACTTATTTTTCCATAATTTCCTGAAATATATTAAGGAACTCCTGGCCTATGGTTATTTATGAAATTGGAGTCTGACTAGTCCACTGAGGATAGTTTCTTAAAGTTGTTATTGTTGTTATTATTATTACTACTACTACTACTACTACTACTACTACTACTACTACTACCAGGGATTAAACCCAAGGGCACTTAACCACTGAGCCACATCCCAGCCCTTTTTTTGTATTTTATTTAGGGACAAGATCTCACTGAGTTGCTTAGGGCCTCACTAAATTGCTGAGGCTGGCTTTGATTTCTGAGATCCTCCTGCCTCAGCCTCCTGAGTTATGAGGATTACAGGCATAAGCCCTGCTGAAAGTAATTCTTTTTCTCTTTCTTTTCCTTTTTTTTTTTTTTTTTTTTGGTACCAGGGATTTAACTCAGGCACACTCGACCACTGAGCCACATTCACAGCCCTATTTTATATTTTATTTAGAATCAGGGTCTCACTGAGATGCTCAGGACCTCACCATTGCTGAGGTTGGCTTTGAAACTGTGATCCTCATGTCTCAGCTTCCAAAGTTGCTGGGATTACAGGTGGTGTGTGACCGGCATGAAAGTAATATTTTTGAAGTTGATGTTTCCTCCTACAAGTCTGCCCCAGGTAATAATGCAAATACATGTACACTACATTATTAGCTCAGCAGAAAAGCCATCGGCTTTGAATTTTGAAATCTGGTTCTATCATTTATTCATTGTTTGACCTCGGACCTCCCTGGGTCTCCCTTTATTCACTTTGGCCTCAATTTCCTCATCTACCGAGTGTGGATAATGGTGCAAGGCTTGAATGAGAGAGTGCACATAAGGTGTTTGACAGAACACTTTCATCTGACATATTAACATCAGTATCATCAACACCATTTTGAGATGAAGAATTGAGACCCAAAGTGAGTTCTCAGAGTTGGGGCTCTAGCTTGCTATAAGAGCCCCAAACTTTTCAGCTAAATTGCTATCCATTCCATTCACTTTACCTAAAATGATCAGGAAATGATCTTTTATTTCATTTGACTAACTTCCAAATAATTTGAGCACCTTTGAAGGATTATAACACATTGAAAAAATCCATGCATCCACTACACATTGTAGTTTTGTAGAAAAGAATGTGCTTATTTGGAGGAGCTGCATGCTAAAGTCTGCACGGTGAAATGCCATAATGTCTGCGATGTATTTGCAAATTAATTATTTTAAAAAGTTAACAAATGGAAGCATAAAGATAAATAAAGCAATGGAAGCAATATGCTAGCCATCAGTGAGTTCAGGTAAAGGACCTGGGGTGATCCCTCGAATATTCTTTTCACTTGTCTATAGCTTGAGAAAAAAATTCAAATCACAAAAATGGAGGGGAGAGACAAGATCAAGAAATAAATTAGAAATCAAAAGTTAGGGCTAAGGGCCAAGGTAGGGAGTCCCAAAGGGGAATTTTCTTTCTGCTTTCTCTTATTTAAGAAGAATTATTTTGTGAAATACATGCTTTTTATACAACCAGTTACATCAAACAAGGTAGGTGTTTTTACATATGTCTAGACAAATGTACAGAAGGATAGTCAAAAAATATGTTATGGTAATCGCTAGCTAACAGAATGTCAGGTGCTTTTTGCTTACTGTTTAAAAAWTTTTTTTTGTACTATTTGAAATTTAGAAAAGGATCACATGCTTTCTATATCCTATATGTAATTGGAAAAACAGTAAAGCTGCTTTCAGAGGGTTTTGTTTGTTTCTCATTTTGTTCTGGTTTSTTTTTGTTTTTTGCAAACCCAGGGTCTCATGCATGCTAGGCAAGTACTCTACAACTGCTCTACCCAGCTTTGGGATTTTTTTTTTTAATTAACTGTATCTCCTCGTACATTTTTTGGCAACTTCCTGTGGGTCTATAATTGTTTCAAAATTAAATATTTTTTATATTAAAGTATCATTATTTATATCTTGATTTTTTTAAAATAATTTGTCCAATATATCAGGGGCTAAAAAAAAAAAAAAAAACCCTATATTCTTATAATTTCCTACTGAAGGTCACCAAATAGTCATTCCTTTCCCATTTAGGTTACAAAAATTTTAAATCTTCAAATGTAAAGTCATGATCCTAGGAACAGGGCGTTTTCACCTTTTTTTTTTTTTTTTTTTTTTTTTTGGTTAATGTTACAAGAAAGGAAGGGGCAGAGGGCGGAGATCCCTGGGTCCAGGACAAAAACACCTTTGTACTGATCAGTCCCAGCAATGGGCTCTAGGGTACTACCAGAGCATGACTGAGGTGCACCTGAATCCACAAACCCATGCTGACAGTTCAGGGTGCTCAGGGAACCCTGGGCAGTCGCAGAGCATTCGTTTCTACACCACACAACCATCTTCCTTTAGGTTCTGTCACCCAGGAAACACTCTTCATTTATTTTCCCTAGATCCTCACAGAAGAAGAAAACAGCCCTTTTTTGATCCCTTTTTAAAGATATATTTAATAAACAATAATAACTTGGAAGGGATAAGCATGGCCCTTCTTAAAGACCCCTGTAACAGGAGTCAGACATTACAGCAGGGCATGTATCCTGCTGCTACCTTCTGCTTACTAAAAGGAGCTACTCTCAAACAGGAACAAAGGAAGTCTGGCTGCAGGTAGAGACAGGTCTGTAATAGTCAGCACTTGAGGGTCTGAAGGAAAGAAAGGAATGGGCAGAACAGTCCACACAGCAGGATTACTTCATTAAGGGTGGGAGAGGGCAAAAGATCTTGAAAGTAGCCACTGATGGCAGTATATAAAATCCACATTTTGGGCCCTAATTACCCAAAAACTGTCAAAACTAAGTGAAGTGATATAGTCAAGAGCAATGATGGAATGGACAGGGAGCTGCTGGATAGCAATCTCTTCCTTCAATTTACGTCCCGCAGTGACACATCCTCAAATGCTGACTGCCAGCACCAAGCTAAACAATGATCTTCCAAATATGATCCAATGCATTTAGATGATTCAAGCCTGGTCTGTTTTTAGTCTATTTTCTCCTCCGTTGCTAGCTTTGTAAGTCCTGTATACTCTTCTCTCTGCTTCTCTCTCCAGATTCGCCCCCTGCACCCACGTTCGAGTTAAAAGACCCCCTTTCTGTTTGTTCCTAGATGTCCCATTCCTTCCCTATCCCCTCACCTGAAGTCCTGATTGTTACTCCACTTTGTTCCCAGAAGACTTCCATTACAGCATTTTTCAAGCTGAAAGTGTGTCAATCACCTTGTTCTAGCACAGACTTAGAAGGATGCTGGCCCCATCCCCTTTTCTCTACTGGCTCAGCAAGTATAGGCTATAGGAAGTCAGGAGTTAGAGGAGTGATATCCTTATGGGGATAGCCCACTAGCTGGTCTGTTGCAACCTAAGGAGACTACCTCTTCCCAGTGCTGCCACTTTGTAAACCCAGACCAGTGAGAGCCATTTGGATGATTGGCAACAAATCAAAAGGACCACAGTGTTTAGGGGATGCCAGGAGCTCACCTCCTTCAATACAACTCCTCAGAGGCACATAATATACAGCCTGAATTTTGTCCTTCCCAGGCAAGGAAGTTGGCATCCTTGGTAAAAGCTCTTAATCCAGAATAACTACATCTGAAGAGTACCGATACTATAAGAGAAAGTTAACATACTAAATATGTATGGTGTGAAGCATTCCTGGAACAGACTAAAAGCTTTTAATCAACACAGCTATCCCTCAAAGGTATAAAAGAAGAGATCAGTAAGAGACTAAAGTTGAAATCAAGAACTCAACAGATAAGATGGATAGCACAATGGATACAAGAACAGAATAAAGCAGTGCAATAGAAGTTCAGAAAGAAGAATGCTCCCAGAAACAATCAGAGAAGAATTAAAGGATAGAGCATGAAGATACAGAAAACACAATTAGAGGTTCTAATATACAGACAATAGAGAACAGGAATGGAAGAGAGGACAATAAAGAAACAGAAAAAGGAAAATTTTTTAAAAATTGATCACTAATTCCCTAAAATTAAAAAGAGATGAAGGACTCAGATTAAACAAGTTTATAAAGGACAAAGAGTACATATAATGACCCACACCAAGATACATTATAGTGAAACTTAAGAATATTAAAATATTAAAAGAAATTCCAAGAGAATTTACAGAGAAAAAAGAATGAGAGTAAAATCAAACTGTAACACCAGTGTAAAAAAGACCATAGAGTAATATTTTTAAAACATGGAAGGAGAAAAACTTTGAACATAGATGTGAGGTTGTAATAAAGATATTCTCAGGCTCTCAAAGCCACTGAAGGCTCAACACATAAAGACTCACTCTGAAAATATTCACCATGGAAGTATTCAAATAAAAAGAAACAAATTCTGTAGGATAAGATATGGGGGCAATAAGGCTAGTCAAATAACAGTAAAGTGTGTTGCCTAAGAATACCAAACAAAAATGGAAAAGATTGCCCAAATTTCAGAATTAAAATGTTAAACAGTAAGACGATTGGAAAGATAACTGGGGAAAAAAGGAGACCCAAAGTACATGCAAACTGCTAATGTATTTTTTATTATTGCAGGGTAAATACAGACTTCAGTAATTTAACAAATAAACCCAATGTGGGTCTTAAGAGTGGTTACCTCAACAAAATAGAATTTTTTTACATAACAGGAAAAATAGTTTTTATCTATCCACTAGAATGCAGGAAATGAAAAAAAAAATTTTAACAAAAAGGAAGTGTAGTGAGAAGGAAAATATTAAATAGGATGTTAGAAATAACTCCTAACAAAACAGATATTACAATAATTATAAACAGATTAATTGACCAATTAAAAGACTCAGATTGAATATAAATAATGTATTGCTTATGAGAAACAAATGCACAAAAAGATAGAGAAAGCCAAGCACAAAAGAAATCTGGAAAATCCATTTCAATATCTGACAATACAGAATTCAAATTTTTTAAAAATCCTAAGGGTAAACATGTTCAAGCAAGTAGATATTTAAAGAGCTCTATATCCACATAATATGTAGTTCCTTAATTATTTCACTATTTTTAAAAAGTAACCACACACTAGGCAAAAAGCTCAATAAATTCCAAAGAACCAATAATAATACAGACACTATCTTCTCCGACCATAAAATTAAAAACAATAACAAAAATCAAAACTTAAAAAATTCCTTAAGTCTAGAACTTTGATAAACATAAGGGGAATAAAACATAAGGGAAATCTTTTAAATACATAGGATTAAATGGCAATGAAAACATAACATGTAAATTTGTGAAAAATGACTTAAGCATTGCTCAGGGAAATCTATACCTTACATGCATCCTTTTGTTCATTCTTAAATGCTGAAATAAGCAAGTGTTTCCCTGAAAACCACTTGAACAGAACATGGAAAAGCTCTCACGATGTATACAAATATCTATCTGGTGCCTACTGGGACCTAGAGACACCAGATTCATGAGGGACAAAATTTAATGCTCTCAATAAATGCAAACCTAGAGGAGAAAAAACATCAGGCAATGGCACACTCACCGTTATCAACAGCTGCCCAGGAGGCCTATTTGAACCATTAACCAAAGTATATGTAACGTTAAAGGAAAATATTATGGCCCTGAATCCCACAAAAGTTCATTCTTTTGATCCATCATGAAAGTGGATGTCAAATCAACAGACCCTGCAATTAAGTATCTCTATCTTACTAAGGACAGGGCACCACTACTTTTAGACCCCACCTCCTCTGGCATCCACTACATGATATTAAATACTTTCCCTGCTGAGTGATGTCATGAGAATAAAACATATTCGCAAACAAGTACCTGATAGGGTAAGTCAGCCATCCTTAAATAAGTTTCCATTTTCAAACAGAAAGGAGATAAACTGGGGACACCATTGTTAGGTCTTGCAAACTGATGCAAAATAATAGCATCTTTGGAGTCAATCTCTTGCTGTTTCCTGTCAAAACCAAAACAGAAATAAAGAACAATCTGCATGTTATATGTTTAGTTCCCTTATTTCCTGAGAGGACCCTGCAGAGTTGCAGTCCTCGATGAACATGCAGAAGTGTTTACTGCAGGGGCTTACCTCACCCAGCACTTGGAGAATGGAAGTTTAGTCAAAGCCCAAGAAGCTCTTGCAAACTCTGATATTACCATGACCCCAGTGGCTCAAGTAACTACAAATCAACCTCCTCTGTTGGGCAGGAAGCATATTTTCTGGGACGGGTCCATCTCTTCTCTAAGTGGCTATGTTTATTGCCAGGGACAAGTTGAACAAAAATGATACTCTGTGCTGATGATGTGTCACATAGAGTTCTAGAGGTTTCACAGATATCATTTCATGTAATGTTCATAATAACTTTATGAAGTAGGTATTGTCATCATACATGTTCTTCAGATGAGAAAACTGGGGCACAGAGAATTACCTTGCTCAAAGTCAGAACCTAGACAGTCCCAGGTGGTCAGCACCTATGTTCTTGGTCACAGACTAAACTATGAAACAGTGTCTTCATGGTTAAGGCTCAGGAATAACAGTGCAGATTTGTTCTGCCATGATGAAGTCTGCAGGGACTTTAAAACAGAACATTCTGGTCCCTCACCTGGCCTTCCACCTGAAGTGCTATGAAACCTGGCTTCTAGGTTGGCTCCCTTGCTCTCACTTTTTCTCTCTCTCCTCCACTCTCTATACCTTTGCAGGGTGCCCACTTTGGCCACACAGCTCATGTTTTAATGTCTCTGCTTTCTCCTTTCTCCTGCCTCAGACACATATCCAGCTTTTCCTTTTGTTCCTTTTTAAAGTGAGGATTTTCCTGGGTAGTTTTTCAATAGCCACTACATTGTACAACAAATGCTGGATTCCAAATCTGGACACCTGGGGTCAAGTTCAAGCCCTGCTTCCTCTTGGCCATGTCACTCTAGGCCTCTGTACCTGCCTTTACCTGAAGAGTGAGGATAATACCAATTCTGTATTGATTATTGTGTAGACTAAARAAAGGAATATAACTATAAATATTTAGTGAGCTGTCAAAGATTAAATAAAGAGTAGTGGAATGTATTATTATTCAAAGAGATATCCCCAGAGGTCTTATCTCCTTAAACTATAAAATCTTATCATTCCATACAGTCCTACTTATATAATATCCCCCCCAGAATCATTTGTAATTTCCATCTGTCATTCTACCTAGCCATTTTCCAGTCAGATAAACTTCCCTTTTCCCAAAATCCCTAAGATTTTGCCAGTTACACTCTACACCTACTTCTAACCAGACATCATCTTTGTTGTATCACATGGATGCTCACTTACTTTAGCCTCCCTGCTTTGTCAAACAAATTCTCTTGAAGAAGTTTACCACCCAAGGGCCCATTCAACTTGAAGAGCTCAGAATGATTCATTTTAAAAATATCAGTCAAGTCAAAAGAATAAAAAATATTTGCTATTTTTCTGGCAATATTCACTATAAAACTAAGGTTTTCATTTAAAGAAATATGTGGGAGGTCAGTAATTAAAATCAAGAACCCACTTAGACTATGTTCCTAGTCAGCACMAACTATAGTCTTGATACTTAACTGTTTGCAGCTTTCTAGGCCTTTCCTTTTTTTTTTAATATATATTTTTTTTTAGTTTTAGATGGACACAATATCTTTATTTTATTKTTATGTGGTGCTGAGGATCGAACCCAGTGCCTCACGCATGCCAGGCGAGCGCTACCACTTGAGCCACATCCGGAGCCCAAGGCCTTTCCTTTTTTATAGTGAATGCATTCAATTGTATGACTGCAGAATAGTTTGCCCTTTCATTCACCTGTTGAAGGACATCCTMATTGTTTGTATATTTGRGAAATTATGAATAAAGCTGCAATAAACATTCACTTTCAAAATCAAATTAACTGATTTTGTCCAGTAAAGTAATTTATATAGCAAAGTGATATTTTCAATGTAAATTAGTGAGGCAAAATTTTAAGAACTGAAAGGAAAGGAGGTAAATATAAAACTCCCTGCTCCACTGGACAGAACATCTAATTCTAATGGTTAATTTGGAGCATGTCATAATAAGAATGGATGCACACAATATGCCAGTGATCTTATATATAGCACACGTGTTAACTTATTTAATTCTGACAATAACACTATATAGTGAATATTGTTATGGTTTAAATTTAGATCATACCATGCTTATATTTTACAGAAGACAAGGAAACTAAAGCTCCAAGAAGTTAAATAACTTGCCCAAAAAACACCAATTTAAGATCACATCTGTAATAATTCCAGTTCTTAAGCATGTCAAAGATACCAAAATGGAAATTGTCTCAACTAATTTTACTAGCACAATCCATTTGATTTAGAATATGCAAACCATTTGCCCATAATAGCTCGTGATGGATAAGCTTTACTGAATGCCCACAAATGACAAACTCTCTTCTAAGCATTTCACATGGGATAACACATTAAATCAACTCTATGAGGAAGGCTACTATTATTATCCCCATTTTACAGATGAGAAACTATGTAATCAAGAGCTTACTACAAGGTACATGGTTGGCCAGAGGCAGAATTTAATTTAAACCCAGACAATCCAGGTCAAGATACCTGCCCCTCATACATCAGAAACTTCTCTCTAGCTTAGAAGACCAGGTGGGTTGTTTCTTGTAGAGCTATATTTTAGGAAGTAGCCTTGTAATGAGGTGATAACACCTGAAAAACACCAACTAGTCACTCAAGCAGGAGAAAAGCTCCTACCTGTATGATTAAGTATATCACAGATGACCATGCCTCTGAGCATGGCTGATGAGTGGGTTGTCCATTTGGAGAGATCAGATGATCCATGGGCTGCTTTGAACTTACTAAGTAAGTTTTCTAGGATAGGCAGAGCTAGAGCACCAAAAGTACAAATGAGCTACTAGTAATGAAGTCCTTAGTTATCAATCACTTTACAAACAACCAATTTCCAAATGTCTGATTAAATTTAAGATAGTTCTCAGGTTAATTTCCACTTAGGGAAAACAGAGGGTTGGAATGGTGGTAGAAAAAATATGAATAAAATCTCAAATGTCATCCCAGACAAGCACCCATCTCCCTGCTAAAATATCTGCTTTGGTTATTCTCATTAACAAGCCTTCCTAAATAATTCTCATCTGTCACCTTATTTGCCACTCCAAGACATAGCTACAGGTCTAGGTAAAGTCTGTGCAGCAGAAGGTCCAAGCAGGGTGGGGAAGAATTTGCAGTTGCCAGTGAACACAGACAATGTAGTCATTTCAAGGTATATTTTCCATCCCATGTGTTTCAGATTTTGTTTTGTTTTGTTTCACCTGAGCTATGCAGACAATTGAAGCTTGGATTTCACCTTATAACCTCTCCAGCTTGTAACCTCTGAAACCTCAGTCCTCAAGCCTCCTGTCTTCCAGGGCAGAGTCCTAGGAGCTGACAGGAAGTTGGGTCCCCACCACAGGTCTGAACAATGCCTTTCCTCAGCAATCCCTTGGTTCTCCACATTTCTCCTTCTATTGGTCCAACAAAACTTTTCAGAATGGGCACTTTCTAGGAGACAGTATAAACAGCACAGTCTCCACTCATGGACACACATTCTCACTCTTGAATCCTACAGCTCYTACTATGTGATCTTGGGCAAGTTGCTTAACTTCCCTCAGTYGAAATTTCTTATCCATAAAATGGAGATCAAGCTTCAAAGTGACAGTCGTTAGAAATGAGTGCAATCACACACATGTACGGCACCCCCATACAGAGTCCCTACTAAGTTTTCATACATGGACAGCACTTTGTTATTACTTGTATCATGGCAGGGATTACCAAAATTATTTCAAACACTTGTCAAGAAATGAAAATGAAAACTAAGGATTTAAAACTCCTTAATCCATGTATCTAGTGTTGGGCCTTGTGGTCCCTTAAGTAGGGAAGGAAATATCTGTGGGTAAAGGGCTCTGCAGAAGACAGGGACCACACCTGCTAGGGTGTGGCCTATTCCAAAGTGACCTCTGAGCTCCCCACAATTTCTGCAAGGTCATTTAAGTCATGTTTCCATTATCCCTGCGAAGCCTTCACTCCTCCCTCCCCAAACTGGAAAACTGTTCAGAAGCCACATGGTCCAGGACCTTCAAAGGTTTTAGATTGGAATATAATTGAGGAACAACTGATTACCACTTAAAATACTGCACAAATGTTTTTTATATGGTTTGAAACCTAACTTGAAATAGAGCTTCCAAAACTATCACAAATATAGAATAATCTAGGAAGATAATTCACTTTAAAAATATTTGTATGTGGTTCAACTAGATCCAAGGAACTGAGAAGAGCATTAAATGTGTAACATGCTTAAAATAAACTTCTCAATTCTCAGTTGTGGGTAGATAATGAAAGCCAACAAACACATTTTCCCAGACCTAAATAATTTCCCATCCTTTCAGACAGAGGAAACATTCAAGATAAGAGTCAGGATGTCACGATGCCCTCCTGGAATCTCTGCAGGCCCATTAAAGGTCACCTACCACTGTCTTTGTTATAATAACATCTTGTGCTGGATGTCCACCTAGAAAACCATGGTGTGGACACACTTCTCCCTCTTCAGAATATACTGGCCAGGAGGGGCATTCTGAGCTATTGAAAACTGCTCTGCTTCAGGTAATCTTCCAGGCTCAAATTGAAGATGAAACTCATGAAAATTTTAAGCATAAATTGTCATTATCAATTAGCCAAAGCCAGTGTCAGAACCCTGTGCTATTACTCTATACCAACAAAGATCTCCTGTGAGACTGGATGTACCAACAGCAGGGATCTCCATTTTCCGGAATTTCCATGTCAATTCTGTAAACATTCTGCTGCAGCGGATGCAACTGTTTACAGCCCTGGGTGACTCCAGTGTTATGTCAAACACGCCCATGTGCTAGTCCTACCCTTGGGTCTTCTACTGCTCACACAGTGACATTTAAGCTTGAAGATGGTGCTTAGCATTCAATATCAGACAAGCAGATAACCAGGTTAAGACTGCATCAAAACTGCACAGGACTACATTTAGMCATGCATCTCTAACCGGAACCCGCTGCTTTCTAGAGCTTTTGCAATTGCAGCTTCTTGAAGATGTTGACACTTAGGGAGGAATAGCAAAGAACTAATCTTTTTAGTAATAGATGAGGTTAGCAGTTGGTATTCCAACATTATTAACTATGAAACCTATAAGGCATTTCACAAGAGTGTAACTTAGTACATCTACAAAGCCTAATTCTATTGATACAAATATCTTCTTAAGGATATTACTCAAGAGTATTTTGCTGTATAACAACTAGTAACCCACAGCATTTTTGCTTCTAGCACCGAAAGGCTGGGTGACAAATGTTCTTCCCTCCCGGTACCAGTTTAATTCAACTTAACTGCCCCTCAAAGCCAGGTGACCAGAGAGGACTTTCGGGGTAAAGTAAGGGCAGAACCCTCCTGGGCATTTGGGCGGCGTGACCGAGGGGCTGGCACAGGACCCCCCTAGCGCAGGCCCTGCCCCGGCCAAGTGCCCCTCTTGGCGCCGGTGCGCGGGGCCCTCTCTCCGGCTCACCTAATGACCAGGAGTTCGTGGAGCAGATACGCAGCTGCGGCCAGCAAAGCTCCCCCGGTCAAGTAAAGGGTTTTCTTCCACCAGGGATCGGAGCCCAGCCCTGCCATGATCCCACCGTAATCCTGCAAAGGGAAAGCGATGATGTCCCCATAAAAGGAGAAGGGCTCCTCGGACCCGGCCCACCAGCCGAAGAAGGAGACGCTCTGGTTCCAGCTCAGATCCACCACGCACGGCCTGGACGAGGCAAAGCCAACCCCCCAGTGCATGCTGCGCGGCTGGCTCCGGGCRCCCCTCCCTGGGCCCGCGCCGCCCGCATGGGAAGGGGCCGGCACGGCCCGGCGCGGGCTCAGCTGAGCGCGGAGGGCGCGGGCGGCGCGGGCGGCGCAGACCGAGGAGACGGCGGAGGCTGAGGAGGAAGAGGAAGGGCGCAGGCCACCGGCGGCTGGCCTGGACGGCGAGGCCCCGGGGCCTTGAGCCTCAGCGGCGGCCGCCGGCTGCCCCAGTAGCGGCCTCTCCGCGCCGTTCTTTGTGTCGGCGCCTGGAGAAGGCCGCGTGATGTCATTGCTCCCCGGGGCAGGGAAACAGAGGCGGGATAGTCACCTACCCCGCGCCCTGCCCCCGCCCCGCATCTCCGCGGTCCGGCGGCCTCCGCCCGGGCCSGAGCTGCAGGGTTGGGGTGCGCCGGGCGGGCTCCGCGCCTCCAGGAGGCACGCCCAGGAACCGCTCTCCACGCGAGGGCAGGGTCTGCGGAGGTGGCTGAAAATGCGGCTCTACCGCCAGCAAGCTGTAGTCGGGCCTGGATCTCGGTCTCCCCCCTCCCTGACCCGTTCCCCGCCTTCGCTCCAGCCCCTCCCGCAAGTCCCGAGAGCGGGGAGCGCGCGGGACTCACCTGGGGCCGCGCGGAGATGCGGGAAACGCCACCAGGCGGGGTCTGGGGACAAGGGCCCGGATTAAGGTCGGGCATCAGATTGTGTGGCCTCCCGGAAAGTACTGTGTATTTGCATAGCTGATTTTAAAAATAAGAATTACCTAGGTCTTCGCAGTGTGTTTGACAAATGATAAAATGCACTTTAGGTGGAGAAATTTTCCCTCTGACAGACCCATCTTAAAAGTCTTAACACTTTAAAGCTTTATCAGGAAACTCGCTGATATAGGTTTTGTCCCCCACCACACCTCTACTTCCCCATGCAGAAAATGTGTTCAGTTATTTTTCCCTCTTTGAATTCATTTTTTTTTAAACGTTCCTTAGTACAAAGAACAGGCAAAGTGTCATAGAGGTTGATGATGTATACACAAATTCTAGCAAGAACATGGGTAGTTTAAAAATTTAGAGGAACTGAATAAAGGATTGAAGATGGGGGTTCATCACTCTTAAGGTGGAAGGTTGTATATAGGCAGAATCCAGGCTTTTGCCTGATACAGCAAAGGCTGGGCTAAAAGGGCCCCACCCTTTCCTTTCTACTTCCTCCAAWATACCAGCGAGGGCAGTCAAATTGTTAATAAAATGTGGGCACGTTGTAAGCCCCAAGTAGATAAGATTAGAGAGATCATCCTGGCTGACGCCTAAACACCAGTCTTCAGGGTTCCAGTCATAACTGGGAATGAGGTAGAGGTGGTGTGTATAGTTGAAACTAAGCCTTCCTGAGCAAGTTGCAGAAGTGAAACCCAATGGAATGACTGAGGTAATCACCAGATTACCTTCTAGGGAGAGGGGCCAGAGAGCTGCAGGGCCTTGTTTATAGGAAGCAGAGTAGATGAGTTTGGGATCAGAGCTGAAATGCTCTGGGATAAGGAACAAAGAGGACTGGAACCTGGTTCATCTGTGCCTTCTCCACTTCATGCTCAGCTTTTGCTCTCAGTAAATGTTGAATCCACATGTAAAGAAAATAAGTTTGATGTTTGGTACCAAATTATTTGCTTGAGTCTCTAGGTCCAGCTATGGGAATGGCAATAAATTATCCCGAGTGCAGCAATATAAAGGGCAAAAAGGGAGAATCAGAACTGTACGGGCTGGGGATGTGGCTCARGCGGTAGCGAGCTCGCCTGGCATGCATGTGGCCCGGGTTCGATCCTCAGCACCACATACAAAGATGTTGTGTCCGCTGAAAACTAAAAAATAAATATTAAAAAAATTCTCTCTCTCTCTCTCTCTCTCTCTCTCTCTCTCTCTCTCTCTCTCCCCCCCCCCACTCTCTCTTTAAAAAAAAAAAAAACAAAACTGTAAACCCTGGGGCTGGAGCTGTAGTTCAGTGGTAAAGCACCTGCTCTGCAAGCGTTAGGCACTGGGTTCGATCCTCAGCACCACCTAGAAATAAATAAAGATACTGTGTGTTCATCTACAACTAAAAAAAAAAAAAAATTAAAGTAAACAAACTGTTCTTTAAAGAACAGAAAAAACCGCAAACCCTATGTCCAGAAAAGAGAGATTAGAAACCAAACAAACTTTAAACACCTTGGTTGACCCCAAAGAATCACTTACTACAATTCACTCTCACAATTGCTTTGCAGGCAGATCTGACTCACCCACTCATGGAGGTGGGTTGGCTGACTGCTGCTTCCTGGAAATATTTACGTCCTTGTTAAACATTATCTGGTCTTTGACTCAAATATGGTTTAAATTTCCAGAGATACACTGCATTGAACATCTTGTCTAAGCAGGTATAAGTAAAGTAAAATCCCATGAGAGAAGCTAAAATATAATCTTAAACACTCTGATAGAGGTTAAATTTTAGCTATTAGGTCTATGACATAGCAGACAAATGAAGATTATTTCTAGTGCTGTTTAAGATGAAAGGAAGCAGAATAAACTCTGAGAAGTAAACACAGCTAAGAGTTGGGCAAACATTTGTATCAGAACATCAAAATGGGGTACACAGAATACAGGTACAGTTATGAGGCACAGCTGCAGCTTGAGCCTCAGACAGATCTTTCAAGTCAGACTCAGTCTCAAGGGAAAAGYTACTCTGTAGGAGTGTAATCCAGCCAGATACAGGGGAACCCAAAGTTCAAGGGCATTGGATGATGCTGATATAATGAATTTAGCAGAGGGGAACTAAGCAGAGCTAGGTTAACAAGAGACACCAGGGAGATGACTCTTCAAAGAATGGCTCATGAGAAGTCCTGGTGGAAAGCCAAGTCCCAGGCTCTGCAGTTCAAATGTGCTTCTGCTCACCTGCCCAGGCTCCACCAGCTAGTGAGATGGTATGAAGGTTTCAGGTGCCAGAATGGGCATCTTTACTCCACCGCTACCACCACCAACACCACCAMCACTGATTTTGACAGCTTGGTGTCACAATCACAGACATTAGTTCCAAGTTAAAGGCCARGTTTATTTATCAAGGACTTTTTAAAACCAACTTTGAGGTATTGAAAAGGGAAGAAACTAATTGAAGAAACAATTGAAGAAACTAATTGCCTGTCTAGTCTAGTGATACGTATTTTGTTTAGTGATTTTCAAAACAAGAAAAATACTTTCATCCCAATTTTACAAATGAGAAAACTGAAGCCAGGGGGGCCAATTAAGTATCTCAATTTCCAGAGCGAGGTACTGATAGAGCCAAGATTTAAACTAAAGCATGTCTCACCCAGGGGCCCTGTGGGCTTTCAATTATCTACATTGTCTCTCAGACCAACCATTTAGAGCTGGAGCACTGTCCATGGTATTCCTTCCTTATGCTATCAGTCTATGCCTTGATTCTGAAGTGTCTGAATTGAATGACTACAAAACTTCAAATGCCTATTAGTTATATTGTCATCTTTTGAGAAAGGCAGCTTCAGAAAAATTTCTATTGCTATGCCTTGTGCATGTATCATGGATCTGCAGCCTTGCCATGACAATGTCAAGGGACAACCAAATCAGTTTTCCAAATTTTAAAGTGCATGTGGCTTGAGGCTCTACCATGGTAAGCAAACAAGTAACAATTAAATCAGTGTTGCTGAAACACTTGTGCATGAGGGAACTTGTTAACATGAAAATTCTGACTCAGTAGTTCTAGGATGGAGCCTGAGATTCTGCATGTTTAATCCACTTCCTGGTGATACCAGATCAYATTTTGAGTAACCATTATCTATACTACTGGTTTATGAGGAAGATAAAGAACTCTGACAATGTTGGATGGCTCCTAGTTAATCCAATCAAGCCACCATGTTTTAAATTAGTTTGACTATCACATACAGATAAAAGGATTCAGACAGCAATAAACTAAGAAATAGAAAATGAACCAAGATGCTAAAAGAGCAGCTAAAACAGAGAGTAAAAGATATCTGATGCCAAAGTGTGAGGGGCTGAGGGAGGAAGTTATGGGGCAGGAGAGATTCAAGAAGGGAAGGGTAAAAGAAGGGAAGAGAGAGGGCAAACAATAGGTGACTCATCTAGTCTCTGTTTTCCTGCCTGGGCAATTAACGATATTGTGGCATATTTCTCAGGCACCAATACAAAGAGCATAAACAAATGAGCAACTACAAATTTAATTTATACTGGACAAATTTAATTTATACTAGAAAAAGTTTTCTCACAATGATGTTATACTTCATGTTTTAAAATATAGCTTACAAGATTTAAGGCCCTGCTGCTGTGATAATAAGTGGATGTGATACTGGCACTATTTCTGGTTTTACAAAATGAAACTTGCCATGCTATTTTATTAAAATGTGTCTGCATTATTCAAAAATTAACAATTTAATTGATAATGTTGATCTTAATTTTACTGAAAAGCTTCTGTTTTCTTGGTTTGATTTTGGGAGAAAAGATTTAATATTGCTCCTGCACATGGAAGAGGTGGACCTTGAATCCCAAATCAACATTATAGCTGAGAAGCACTTTGTCACCATTAGGTAACTTGCTTATATACTTTCTGATTCACTGTAATTGAGTATTTTCTAAAGCATTAAGCAAGTCTCAGACAGTACGTCTTGCATATTAACTCAGTGCGGAGAAAAGTTGTGCAAATAATAACTGGATTCAAATGAGTGAGGGGCAAATAAGAAATGGGTAGTAAGAAGAGTTTAGGACATTTTGGGTTTGGGTAGTGTGTTAGTTTGCTACTGCAAAGAACAGAACCTGATAAATCACATTTAAAGGATGACAAAAGAAGAGACACCCATCCAGGAAACTGAGATGAAGCAACAGAGGCAGGAGGGAACCCAGACAGGTGTTGGAGCAACAGAAGCCAATGAAAGAGAGAGTTCCAAGAAAATGCAGGGTGGGATCAATAGTCATATGCTCCCCAAAAGCCAAGTAACATGAATTTATCCAGCAGAGCAGACATTACTGACCTAACAAAATACTTTATAAAGAAAAGTTACTTTGCTCTGTTTGGGAGACTGAACGTCTGAACAGCCTCCGCTGGCAGATGAGAGGAGCATATGCAGGAGAAAGGGATCACATTTTTCTAGAGGAAGCCAGAGAGTCAGGGATTGGGCTCAGGCTTTTATAACAACTTGTTCTTGCAAGAAATCACTCCAATAGGAAAGACAGTAGAATGAGTCAGACATAACTTTCCTGTGTTCATCTATAAATACACAGC